TTGTTGTTTCCAACACCTAATCAATAACAAAGAACCCATATCTCGATGTATACTGTTGTAATCAATAAAACAAAAGTCACTTTTAAGATGGTGGTTGGAGGTAGTCAACAGGAAACCCTGGACCCGGGTTTCGTGCTACTTATCAATGGTCAGTAAGGTGTACCTGCAATCTTGTGGGAACTGGTGCTCCCTGACGGATTCGATCCCATGTCACCCAGCTTCACAGTCAGAGACATTACCACTGGGCTATCCGGGCCGCGACCGACCTCCTGTAGGACTGGTCGATAGCATTCGATCCGCACTAAGAAGAACTTGACACATATGACATTGATCACCACCCAGCGATCAATCAATTGTGATTACACAAAGTAAATTGTTTTCCCTGTTAATCACTCCCACTTTAATGTAACATGAAAGAAATTTACATCATGAGGTATACGTAGAATTCTGTTTTCCCATTCAGTCAGTTATAGCAAGTAGCCGAAAAATTTATGATTTTGACCAAGCGTCTGTGAGTGACTTCATGAAACACAGTAAATGAGACTGATTTTAAGGCCTGGAGTTATTTGGTCGGCTAATGACCTACAAATTCTGAACCCCATAATTTCAATTTTTAAACGAATTTCAGTTATGTTTATTCTGCCTAAAATATATAGATATTTTCTACCGTCACAATATTGCACACAGAGCTTCAAAGTATTATTATTATTATGAAAATCTCAGGAAAACGCTTTTCATGTCAATCTCATAAAATATTTGTTTTCACTAAATAGGTATTAAGCATAACAGAGTCAACTGCGCTTGTGGATCTTCTAGGGTTGCTGCCCGTCCGAAGCCGGAGTAATGGAAAAGAGATGAACATGGGATCAGCAACCCCGTCTCGTAGAAAACAACCTTGCTAAAAAGTGTCAACCAAGATCAATCAAACAGTTACAGAAATGAGGAGATACAACTTGATGGTGCTCTAAATCAGTGAAACCCATTTGACCAAAGCTGAATTGAAAAGATTAGATTTGGGAGAGGTGCTGTCATATTCTGTTCACGAAATAGAAAATGCTTCACAAACTCTGTGGGTTACTCTGATGTTATCCAAAGTAGCACAAACAGCACTTCTTGGATAGGAACCTCATGGATCCAGAATCATCAAAGCATTCTTCAAAACAAAGAAGGGGGAATCACAATGAATTTTATCTAACATTATGCATCCTCCAATGATATCAATGAAGAAGACAGAGATCAGTTTTGTGAGAGGCTGTAGTTGAACGTGGAGAAGTGCCCAGGAAATGATCTGAACATTCTGATGGGAGACTTAAACACCAAATTCAGAATGGACAAATATAATGCAAATATAAGGAACGACATGAACTGGGAGAAACGAATTAGAATAGTGACAGATTGGTAAACTTATGTGCATTCAACAAAATGTTTATATACGGCACTACATTCCCCACAGCTCATAAATAAAGCTACATGGGTCTCACCAGATCACACTACACAGAACCAGATAGATCATATTTGCATCAACACAATATATATAAAGTTCATGGTAGACGTGAGAAAAGAGAGAGGAGTTGATATAGCTTCAGACCACAACCTAGTAGTTGCCAAGATGAAACTGAAGCTGAAGAAGCAATGTACGATTGTGGGAATATCATAACAAAGGTTTAATACAGACTTCCTTCAAAATACTGACAAATTCAATGAATTCAATATCTCTCTCAGCAAGAGGTTTCAAGCCTCACAAGCTTTATTCAAAGAGGAGAAAAGCGCTACGGAGAACAACTGGAAAGGGACAAAAGAAAAAGTAACTTAAGCATGTCAGGAGGTTCTGAGCACCATAAAGTATCATAATAAGGGATCAGTCTCTTTCGGAAACCTAGACAAGCTTCAGGAAAGGAAGAAAAAAGACTACAGCAATCACCAACAGTGGAACAAGAATAGCGCAAGTCAAAGCACTGGCCGAATACACAGAAACAAACAAGAAAGAAGAGCAGCATTAAAGCCAACAAGCAGAAATAAATGGAAAACTTGGTGGTGACAGCAGAAAAAGCTGCAAGAGAAGAAATTATCAAACAATTGTATGATATAACGAAAAGCTAGCAGGGAAATATAGTAAGTGAGAACGACCGGTCAAAAAGAAATAAAGCAAACCAGACATTGCGATTCAACAACAGTGGAATAGGTGGGTTAAATAATCTGAAGAGATCCTGGGTAGACCAATTCCACTGAACCCACCGGACAAAGAGACAGCACATACAAATCTTCTTATAACCCTCACCCCACCAACAATCGCGGAAATCAGCATGGCCATTAAACAGACCAAGAGCGGAGAACTAGCATGATCGAATGAGATATCAACTGATGTACCAAAGTTAGGTATAGTTCTTACTGCGAAAATGTTCCATGTTCTATTCAGGAATATTAGGGAGGAAGAACTAGTGTCGACAGACTGGAGAGAAGGATATCCCATCAAGATATCAAAGGGAGATATGAGCAAATGTGAAGACTTTAAAGGCATCACACAACTGTCAGTACAAGGAAAAGTTTTCAACAGAGTGTTGCCGAATCGGATGAAAGATTCAGTGGACTCTCAGCTTCGAGATCAGTAGGCTGGATTTCGTAAGACTCGATCGAGCACACACCAAATCGCGACACTACAGATCATTGTTGAACAACCAATTGAATGGAACTCGTCACTATACATCAAATTACATGACTATGAAAAAGTGGTTGACAGTGTGGATAGGAGAACCTTGTGAAATCTGCTTCATCATGATATGCCTGGTAAGTTCGTTAACATTATACGGAATTCATACAAAGTAGTCGTGCAAGGAGGTCATTTAACAAATGCATTCAAAGTGAAGACTGGCGTCAGACAAGGCTGCTTACTCTCGCCCTTCCTTTCACTTTTGGTGATCGACTGGATTATAAAGGCCTTTCGCATCTTAAGAGAAGCATGTGATACAGTGGAAACTTCGTACACAACTAGGCAATTTAGACTCCATGGATCACCCAAATCTTGTATCCCTTGAACTCCAACAAATGAAAGTGAACACAACCGGTGCAGCAGCAGCACATGCAGAAGTGGGCCTGAACATACACCAGAGAAAAACCAAAATATTCAAATGCAACACACAGTTCATCAACCCAATCACACTTGATGGAGAAGCTCTAGATAAGGTGGACACTTTTACGTACTTGGAAAGCATCAATTATAAAGAAAGAGGATCTGATACAGATGCACAAGCAAGGACACCACTCTTACAACTGAAAAACATCTGCAACTCAAAGCACCTGTCAGCCAACACACAAGTCGGAATTTGCAATATATACAAGACGGTTCTATTGTACGAAACTGAAACTTGGAAGACTACTATAACCATTATCAAAAAGGTGCAGTCTTTTAGAAACTGTGGTCTATGCAAGATACTCCACATCCGTTGGCCGCATATGATCAACAACAACCAATTGTGGAAGAGAACGAACTAGCTTCCAATTGAAGAGGAAATTAGGAAAAGGCATTGGTGATGGATAGGATACACATTTCAGATATCATAAAACTGCATCACGAGGTAAGTTGTTACTTGGAATCCTCAAGGATAAAGGAAAGGCGACAAATCAAAGAACAGATTGCGTCGGGAATAGGAAGCAGACATCAAAAGAATGAATAGCACCTGGAAACAACTGAGAAGTATTGACAGAGTTTGATAGATAATGTTGTTGGAAGGCCTATGCTCCTGTACGATGAGTAACAGGCATAAGTGCATCAGTCTGTTTTCTGGTATGTGCCACAACTTCAGTCGAATATAGTCCTGTTTGTCGTTGAACTCATGGTTACAAGTCAGTAGAGGTCGAAATCTGAGTATGAAGGTTAGAACTATTTTTTAAACGGTTTTTTATGTTTATGAACATTCACACCTTTAAATAATGATAAAGTTTCCTACTTTTCAATTTCAGATCACTAACGATCTACGTGTGACTGAAAGAGGTTTGTACTAAAAGATACTGATGACGCAATGGGGAGTAACCCGATCACTGATTAGAGAGTTCTATTGCGTGTTTTGTTATTCGTAGGATTAACAAGAGGTTATCAGATTTTAGTTTTAGTGAATTTTAATGTGAAACTCCAGTAGTATGTGTTATTAAGTAGTTTTCTTATTCAGGTTACACATACCAATGTGTATTTAAAGGCTACAGTACTGTGAAATCAAAAGTAATGTGCTGTTGAATAATAAACTGATCTCAAACTTAAGTTGGCTATTTCTTACAACTTTAAAAACCTGAATTCTTACTACATCTTCAGCCAATGATCTAATTATGGTATTTGTTTTCTAAAAGATTCTTGTTTTAATTAGTCAGACTGAACTTTACTTACATTTTCACTCATTATTAGCATGTTAAAGTGAAAATCTAGCCAACAGTTGTTATCTTAACAACTGCTAGATTGTTTATTATTTAAAATGACCATATAATAGGTGTTCATATGTAAAATAAAATAGAAATTTTAAATAGCTAGACTAAGAGAAATGACACAATGTGATTTGTAGGATGTTTTTGAGAGAAAAGAAAACAAGCGCTAAGTTTTTCCCTAATCATACGATTTGTGACTGTGTCTGTTAAAAATTAGCACAGTGATCACGTGAAAATCGTGTATTAAATTGAAGAACATTCAGATGCCATAAAATTGCTTGTAGTTTATTAAAGGTGAATTTTTGTGATCACTTATGTTATCGATGTTAATTCAGTAAAGTGGAATCTGATTATTTTAAGTTTGTTGGTGATACCCCAGTACGGTTTGCAAGAACACGAAGAATCATGAGAGACAAATACCACTTATACCAAAATTAAGGTTCACTTTAAGTAGACGTATATGCTGAGTGTCATTCAGCAGAATATGTGACTCAAAATGAATTGTGAATGAATTACATTGTTTAAGTTTATTGTAAAACAAATAACTGATATTTATTTCTGAAACTGTAGAGCTGAACTGGTATGCTTACTTTTTTGACACATCTCAGGCTTTGGACCCCAGCAATAGCCTCGTCCATTTACCACAGGACAGGAACCATGACAGGAATGTTTGGTGCGATCTGTAAGTAGAAAAGTAATCGAAAAGACAGAATTGAAAATAACGTGTTCTAAAAAAAACTTCTGACGAGAATACCCTGTATTATGCTTTTTTAAAAGTTTACTGTGAACAAATTTCAGAATCAACAACTTAGTGTTCACTGTTCAACTTTGAAATCATTATATGCTTATATAAAACAATATGGAAAGTGTAACTTAGCCATAACACATGAAAGATTGATAAACTGAAAGTGTGAATAGACTGAATTAGCATAAAAATTACAAAAACACTTTGCTGATAGCACCCAACTCAATTTGATTCAATACACAATCTGTTAGTTTTATAAAAGTATTGTTTTCATTTGCTAACAGTATTGATTGGTAATTTAAATATACTACTTAAATCAGTCTAGTCAGACTGTAATTTCAGTTGAATTTTATAGCGACTTCTTTGAAATTAGTATGAATACTACAGAACACCTACTTTGTAATTTATCATCTAGCAAGGCAAATTTTACCAAGTGATAAAAAGTCTCTATAGACTGGTAAATTCAATGGTCAAAAACGACATGCTAACTTTCTAAGTTATCATATAGTTCAGTTCGTATTGCTGACTTTGGAATTCAAATAATCACTCATAAAATCACAAAATTGTGATTTATTTAACACTAGGTTCTGGGAAAAACTTGAAAAGCTAATATCTAACGAGGATAGGATTACTGTTTCATCGAGTAAACAACGTAAACAAGGTTTTTTCTTCGGATATTCCTGATTGACTGAAATGCTTAAATATATTCACAGAAACCACAAGAAGTCGAAAATGAATTTAGAAATATTCCAGTTTGGTTAGAACTTCATACAAAATGTCGCAAACATACTTATACTCCGTGCATCAGAAACTTTCATAATTGAAATGATAAACGATTAATTAACGTCACATCTTGAAATAATTTAAATGATTAGTTCTACATAGCTTATTGTCAACGGACCTAAAAGATGACAAATATCTCTGGGGTTCAATCTTACAATACCCGAACATGCTGAAAATATAATTAAAGCTGAACCCAGATACGTTTCATGCATATTAGATCATAACCATATAATAAATTCATGATTGTGTGAAAATTAAATGGTGCGACCAACTAGACTCATATCTGATTATTTAAAACTGACATAACCCATTAAGCTAAAACTCTTGAATTTAACTTTTAAAGTTTATATCACTTGAAGTCTTCAAATTAAATCTACAAAAAATATTTTTTTCACTCAGTATCGGAAAATGGTCTCTTTCTAATTTATGAAATAATATAACGTGGTAACGAAACACGTATTTGTGTAAGAGGCCTGTTGGAACTGTATCAAAGAATGACTTTAGCTATATAAATATTTAAAAATTGTCTCACTTTTGACATGGCTGAGCTTCGCTGGCCATGGCATCTTTGGAGAATTCTAGTCATTTCTATCCGATGTTAGTCACTAGTTAGTAATAGGTGTTATTAGTATAGAAGGGTTGTGAATAGTGTCCAAGTTAAAGACAGGTACCAAGAAGAGTAAGATGTTCAATGCTTCTAGACTTCCTATAGTGGTTTAGATAGGATTAATCTATAAAGACTTTGTTCATGGATTTGATATCGAGCTTGGAGACTGGCGATACTAATCTATTGTCCAGATTGAAGCAAGTCAAGCGAGTGCCAAACTTTTGTTCAGTTAACTGTTCTTGTAAAATGTTATGTTTATTTGCATAGAATGCTTGCAACTGAATTTTTTTCGATTGTTTATTAGAGGTAAAAATAATTTGAATAGAAAATAAGAGAGAAATAGAAAGGCAAAGTGAAAAACGATTTATGTAATAGGACAAATGATTGAAGACTGAAAATAGATCAAGAGAGTATTTATTCCAAGTGGACAATGTTAAGGATGAGTAAGTAAAACAATTTTCGAAATTCATTACTGATAATGAAACGCTTTATTGCTTCGTTACATTATGTTGAAAGAAAATATTTTGTTTTTTATTGAGAATTTCGATAGTGACATGACGTGATATTTATCAAATGTGTATAAAAATGGTAGGAAGTATTGAACTAGTTCAGATAGTTTTGTCTTAAATATGGGATAAAACTATTAAATTTCTATCATGAACGTTATTATCCTAACCATTATTATTTACTAATTAAAAAATGTGTGAGTTAGTAATAATAAATATATTCTTGGGATATCATAAGAATATAGTTATTATCATTAACTTTCTACAAAATGCTCAATTTATTTGAAAATATAAGGTCCAACCTTGGCATTGATACCTACACAACCATTATATGTGAGTTACTTGTTAAAGCTGCTTTATGTTTCCAAATAGTTTTTGCTTAGTGTTGAGAAATCAATTCTTAGGTCATTCCTTAGTAGATTAAGTGTGCTCAACTGTGATTAACGTATCACTGAAACTCTACTTTGGAAATCACTGATAGTTGTTTACAACCGTGATAAGTTATGAATACTGGTTTGAATTTTTGTACAGTGAAAAACTGAACAAATTAAAGCCTTTATAATTCGATAGGCTGGTAGATAGTTAAATGATTTGATAACAGTTTCAATGTCAATTTTCTAAGTTGATAGTTACCTGTTTCCAGTCAGCCTCGAATCTGAGAAGCTCAAAATGAAACAACATACAAATTAAGACCCAGGACAAGAATTTAGGGAAGTCTTATTGTAATGTATTTCGGTCTTCTGAATACAGTGATTTAGGTATGTTCACATCACTAGTACAACGGATAACTTTTAATTAATTCTAAGAAATAATCACTAGCTTACAGAGAATAGTAGGTATTCTAGATCTACAATAAATAGTGCATTTGTGCACCTTATCAATAGTGAAACGTTTGAACTCGAAAACTTTAAAACTTGACGTTTTAATGTAAACCAATCTTTGATTCAATACTTATTCTTAGTATGAATACTAATAAAGAGTTTTCTCCACAGGTATTAGATTGGAACAGTATAGAAAGATAGAGTCATTTAATACAGTTGTAAACTGTGAATCTTCGTTCGTACCTGACAAAAGCAATAAATCTAATCAACAAACAAAACTGAGACGAATAAATAAATGAGAATTAGTAGTGTTCTGTTGATTGAACATTAAAATTTTATCGCCCGAAATTCATACAAATATATTCAACTTCTTTTCCATATATCACAAGGAGAAATTTGCGTTACCTAATGAACAAAAGTCAAGTACTTTGCCATGTGAATTGAAACTAGTTGCAGAATCTTTATAAGTCAATGGACATTGAACGACTAAATTTTTCGTTTTAGTTTACAATTTTCCAACAACAGCCTACTGAGTTATGGTTCATAATAGAACGCATGATATCTCATGGTGATAGAAACTCAAATATAGTGGGTTGTTTAAAAGTAATTCAGCCTAATAATAGCTAAGTAAGTAGCAAAATTGACGACCAACGGTTAAGCATTATAAAGCAAACACTTCCAAACAAAAACTAATCAAAAATTATTGCGAAAAATATTAGTGATATAGAACTTTGTAGATTAACTGTAAGGTTACCTTGACTAAAGATTTGGATTGCTTGTATCATTCCAACCAAATAATTCCAGCATATATTATCAGCTGTTAACATCTATAGTAACGAAAGCCTACTAATAAGACGTCAAATTTCATGAAATATTAATTAAGTTATTAGATTGCAGAACCTAAAATCCAACAATATCTAGTCCAGCTGAAACCATAAAATGTGTTTTTCAACTTTAGTCTAATTGCTACAATGTGTAAGAAGACAGGAAGTTTTAAAGGAAACTAAGTCAGTATGAAGATCAACATATATTCAGAAGATTTCTCATAAAGAGGTGAAAGTAAAGACTTTAAGTCTGTCAGTCTTAAATAATATATACGCAAATGTGGTGAACGTTATAATCAGTATACTGTCGTTATATATATCAATTTTCAGTTGAATAAAAATCAATATTTAGTTGTGTTTTATTTTTATATTATCAAAACTTTTCTTGTTCACATTTCAAAATCCAAATCGACAGTGTTCATATCCTCTATTTATACGCTGTTTCTAACATTAATTTAAGCATTGTATTCAGAATTTTAGAATTGAAAGTTTACTTAAGGCGGAACACCTCAAGAGCTAATTTACAAAAAAAATGTTTCTTAGAAAATGTTACCATATTTTCATTTATTTTTAAATAACCAATACAATCAAAATATCACATAAATCGATTGAATAACACAAATATAAATGTATGTTGATTAACGATCGATTTTATAGAATCTGAAACATGTGCATCTAATATACCATACTTGATAGTTGTATGCCTAATAATGAATGCCAAACAATTGATCGACCTGAAAAACAACTATATACTATATTGTGTGTATAACTGTAAAATATATACAATAACTGGCGTTAAATGAAAACTGAACATCATTAACTGAATGCTCTGTGTTAATTATCATCAATTAAGCATTACGAAGGATTAAAGCAATCGTAAAGTGATGCTTTTATTTAATCCATTATTGGTTTTATTCCTAAAGTTCTTGAGATTGTTAATCTGCTTTGTGTCAATATAGAGTATATGATGTACATAGACTGGATCTCCGTATATGCTCTAAACGCCATTTATAAGCAATAATAGTCATGACCAGAGTTGTTACATTATAGTTTTTGTGACATAATGTAGACAGCAGATAAAATAAATGTTTCTAGGATACATTTCAGTCGCTACTTAAACTAGACTTATTACGAATTTATTAGAAAATTGATTGTTTAGAGTATTCTTATGATGGCTTTGATGTTAACTCATTAATGAATGACATGCTTTTTTTGTTTTGTAGGTGCCTTATGAATAATACAGATTTATCTACCGATTAACTATAAAGTTAATTCTTTTTAAGACACTATCGATTACTGCTTCATCGATGTGCATTAAAACGTAGGTAAGTTTTTATTTGTCGTAGTTAATTTAATTTTGAGAATTAACACACAACGAAAAATATGGATTTTCA